TGTGAGTGCCCACCGTGGCATGCTGCTCCGTTACCTGAGCCGTCCCCTCTCCTGCTTCCCTGGGTCACACTCCCTCCTTCTCGGTGCTAGGTCCCTCGGGGCACCCTCTCCTGGTGCTGGCTCTCCCCAGAGCGGTCGGTACCGGCGGAGACACTACCCTGGAGGGGCTGGTGGGGTGCCCTTCCCTGCCTTGTGCTTGGGTGCTGTTCCTGCCCTGGCAGCGGGGTGTTCACTCTGAAGCCTAACAGTGTCCCTCAGTACCAGCCACTCTGATGCTGTTCCATACTCGCATCCCCTGTGTTGGCAGGGGTCACTGTCACTTCCGGATGGCTGCAGCTCTGCTTCTGGCAGGCTTCAGTGGGCTCCTACCCTGCGCTGAGCCAATGGGTCCTGCACTGGTAGTGCTGGTGGCTCTTGCTCTTCTCTTTCCAGCTGCAGAGCAGCCGTGAGCCCTGGGAGCTGCCCCCACTGCCAGCTGTGGGGGAGGGTTAGGGTTACACCTTCCCTGCCTATGCCCCTTAGCGGAGACCCTAACACTTTTGACTCCAGATCCTCGAGGACTACCTGCTGACGGAAGATGCGCCTCTGCTGGAGGAGATGGCCGAGGAGGATGAAGAGCTCGACCTGTACAATGAGATGACTTTTGGTTTAGGTAAGATCTCAGGGGAGCCTCAGGGTCAGGCAATCAGCCAGCACTCAATGGGGTGAGGAGGATGGAGGAGGGGGGTGAGGAAGGTGTCCTCGTGCTTGGTGAGGAGCTGGGTTGGGAGCAGGGGCCCTAGTGGGCATTGCCCCGGCTTTCACTAGCCCTGATGTGCTCTGCTTCCCCTCTCCAAGACCGAGACTCCACTGAGGAAGATGCTGCAAAAACTCTGATGCCTCCAGAAGTAAGCTCTGAGCTGGCTGAAGTGGTGTCAGAGCAGACCAAGGCTGAGGAAGAACTGGGGCCTGGAGCAGCTGAGCATCTGGAAGAGCTGGAAGAACCCCAGGAAGAAAGTGTGATGGAGCTGGAGGTTGAGCAGGTTGGCTCAGAGCTGGAGGAAGAGGAGGAGCTGGGAACTGAAGAACACGAGGAAGACCAAGTGCCCTGTGATGAGCTCTATGACCTGGGAGACCCTGCAGTGATGAGAGTCGTGCAGAGCAAACCCACGCTAGAGGTGATGCGTGAGCAGAGAGGGAGGGGACCCATGCCTGGCTGGCAGGCAAGGGGGGCTGGCAGGGACCTGCTGCTTCCTCCTCCATCCCCACACCTGTGGGTCCTGCCTCATGGACGGCATCAGGGGGTAGTTTGGTCCCTGCCCAAGGGAGGAATAACACTCATGCTAGGGCTGAGTAGGTGCCTGTAATTTCTTCTTTGCTTGCAGAGCCAGGACTCGGCAGTGCTGGACAGCAAGATTGATGCTTGCTGGGCAGAATTCAGCAAAGAGGACATGGTAAAAATGTCCCTTCCCATCTGGTGATGAGGCTGAGCAGCTTCCACAGTGCTCCCTGCCCATCTCCTCCTGTCCTCCTTCCCCATGTTGACTGTCTCCCTGTCTTCCAGCTGGCGATGGATCCCACAGTGTGGGGCTCCTGCCCTGGCAGCATCCCACCCCACCACATGCTGGAGGTGGGTACCCCCAGCCAGGCCCTTGGGGAGGGGCTGAGGGCTCCCCAGTACTCTGGGCCAAGGGTCATGCAGGCAATTTGGGATGACCAGGGACCTCCAAAGCCTCATTGTGGATTTGGAGGTGCAAAGATGTGTCTCTTGGGTGCCATGGCTGTGGACAGAGGTGCCCACCCTAAGCAGAGCCTGGGTTTGAAGGCAAAGCTGTTGAGTTTGAGGGGATGGGGACCCGCATGCCAGGTGTCTCTGTGGATCCCCTGCTGTTGCACACCACAAAGATAGGAGCCTGGTTGGTGCATAGTCTGGGTGAGCAACAACCAAAGGCTTTGGTGAACTGCTTGATGCTGAGGAAGCTAAATTGATCCCAGCTGGGCCCCATTCCCATCTCTTGTTGCCTCCTCCCTTCAGGATAAAGCTATCCTCCAGGTCCTGGAGAGGCCCCCACCATCCACCAACGTGGCCCTTGACTTCCTTGGCTCCCCTGTGCAGAGGGGATATGGGGGCTCTCCCCGACTCAAGCGTCCCGACTTGCGACTGATGTCTCCCAAGTCCTTTCCCCAGCGTTTTCTCCGTCAGGTAACAGGTTATAAGTGGGCTGTTGTGTCCTCTTTCTCTGCCCTCCCCTACCCAGAGGTGTAGCTTTGAGGACAGGCTTGTCCCAGCAACACCTCCTTTCTCCTGCCCTGCAGCAGTCATCCCTGGTGCCTCACTCCCCGTGCTCTCCTCGGCCCTTCACACCGCCTCGCAGACCCTCTCCGCTCTTCGCTTCTAAGCAGGTAATGCAGCAGACTATGAGCCACTGCAGTGCCCCCTCTGTGGTGGCCCTGGAGCAGCAGGAGATGGGGATGCTGTCTCCCCAAAGCTCTGCTGTCCAGGGCAGACTTTGCAGTTCCATCTAATCCTGAGCTCCCATCTCTGGCATCCTGCTGATGGGGAAAGCAGAGCCACCGGTGTAGCCATTGCTTTATAAATCTATTTGTCCTGACGTCCCTGTGAGACCTGCATCGGGCAGGATGAGGTGCTTGGTGTCATGCTGGGACACTGGTGATGGACCTGGGGCATGCCATCCCTGGTGACATCCAGGTCCCCTTGTCGTGCCCAGCTGTGGTGTCAGGATCCTGGAGGGGTATTGCCTTACCGCGGTGCCCCACGTGTCCCCTCTGTGCTGGGGTAGGGTGGCCCCTGCAAGGACAGGAGCAAGAAGCTAGTGTGAAGCTGGCAGACCGCTCTATGACCCTTGGAGGGGAAGGCTTAGACACTGGAATATTTCTCTCTCCCTCTCCAGACCACAGGGTATGCATCTCCAACCCCTTTCCAGTCTGTGTCCCCCAACATCAGCAGCCCGACACAGCCTCTTGCCATGCACTTCGGCCCCGTGTCTCCGTCTTTGGATGCCGCTCTCTTCTTCAGTCCATCAGCCAGTGGCCAGCTGAACCTCAGGTTAGTGGGAGGGTGAGCAGGGTGCCTGTGTGGGACTGGAGGAGCCCTACAAAGCTGCTGGCAGGGTGTCTCCCCTCTGGGGACATCTCCAGTGTGGGTGCTGAGCCCCTGACCTCCGTTTGGTCTCCCTTGCAGCACACCCAGCCATATGACCCAGCTGCACCCCCAGCACCAGCGGATCCTGACCCAGCGGCAGCAGCAAGGCGGGCAAGCACAGAGGTATTGGGGGGACCCTGTGGAGCTGTGGGGTGGTGATGGGGCTCTGGCTAGTCACAGCAGGCTGCTATCTTCTTCTGTGCCAGCATCTCCCCCAAGAAGCTGTGGTCTCCTAAAGTGGACCCTTATTGTGGGCTGATGACCTCCAAGGAGAAGGACTGGGTCATCAAGGTGGAGATGATCCAGCTGCAGAGTGAGAACATGGATGATGACTATTACTACCAGGTGAGCTTCTGCCAGCAATGCCAGTAACTCATCCTGCTCCTTGGTGCTGAGATTTCATCCCTTTGGGAGCCAGATGGTGCCTGGGCTCATGGTGGCTCCTCTCCTGTCTACGACTGTTGTTACAGACGTACTACCACCGGCTGGAGCGCAAGCAGGTAGAGGAGGAGCTGCTTGGCGGGCGCAACAAGCAGGAGCCCCCCAAGCTGGTCACACCGTTCATCCAGAAAGTGGAGATGTACAACTCCGGTGAGGGGCTGGGGCAGGCAGCAGGGGGCCAGGCAAGGGGTTGCGGGATGTGGTCTTACCGTATCCCGTCTCTCTTCCAGTGGTGCGCATCGCGGGCTCGCTGGGCCAGGTCGCGGTGTCCACTTGCTACAGCCCTCGCCGGGCCATCGATGCTGTGCACCATGCACTTGTGGAGGAGGTAGGTGAGGGAGAGACAGGCTGGTGGTGGCCCAGATGCCTGGGGACACTGCTCCTAGCTTTCCCCAGGACCTGGAGCAGCTTTAGTGGGAGCTTTAAGGTCTGCTGTGACCGATCATGGATGCTGCCCTGAGACATGTCATCGAGCACACAGTTTGTGTGGGTGCCACCTTGGTGGTGACAGCTTGTCCCCTGCTGAGGGGTGGGATGGGGGCTCCAGGCAGTCGGAGCTGGCTGTGGCCTCCCTGGGGGATTGTTCTGTATCCTGAAGCCACCTCTGATCCCCAGGGAGCAGCTGGCCCAGTGCTTTCCCATCGGTGGTGTCTGGTGCTGGCTGTAACTGTTGTGCCTTCCTTTCTCCCCTCTTGAAGGCTGCAGGGAACCACCGGCTTCGGGCGCTGCACAGGATCGAGAAGGTGAGTGAGTCACCATCTGGGGCAGGGTCGGATGATGCAGATGCTCGGCTTTCATCTGAGGAGCTCTATGAGGGAGTGTCTGCCTGGGCAGAGGTCCTGGGTGACTGACAGACAGAGGATGCTGTGAGCTTCCCCCTTACCCTCTATGGTTTCTCCAGCTGTTCCTGCCATTGCTGGAAGTGGAAGAGATGCAGCAGAAGATGTCCCTGGCCCAAGAGGAGCAGCAGCCTTGCTCTCAGAAGCAGAAGAGCCAAGAAGTAGAGTGTATCTATCAAGCCTTGAAAATCAGAGCTTGCAGCAGTGAAGAGTGAGTTTGTGCCATGGGGAGAGGGGAGCAGGCAGCACATCCTGGTCCTTGGCTCAGGTGGTCGTGGATGAGTAATTCTGGGTGATAGGGAGGGTTGGATCCTGTCCTCTGTGTGTCAACACGATCTGTGCTGACTCTGCTCACGAACCTCGTCCTCCACTGGAGCTGATGCTGGTCCTTCTGGATGGACAGAGATGCTACAGGTCCCTTGGAATCTGTGCCAATGGAGCCTTTATCCCCAGGGAGGCAGAGGATGAATTCCTGCAACTCCTGTGTGTGCGGAAGGGGAAGAAGTTCATGGCCCGGCTGCTGCCGCACCTGACCCGGGAGCAAGCAGAGAAGATCCTGCTGACCATCACCCACCACCTGCCCTTCCTCATGAAGAAGGATGTGTTGGATGAGGTGAGCACCCCCAGCCAGGGCAGGAGCATCTGGGCTGCCACCTTTCCCTGTCTCCTTTTGCTGGGGGGGGGCACCTTGGGCAATGGGGGAGGCCTGTCTAGCTGGATCTTAGTATAACCAGGGAGCTGGTGGGGTTGACGTGAAAACAGGCCTCTTTCCTTCCCTGGGGGGAGGGGAAAGGTCTCCAGGATGGATTAAAACAGCCTTGGTGGCAGTCCCCCTGAGGTGGGTGCAGTGTTGGCCTTTGCATCCTTCTGAGAGGTAGGGATGGAGCTCAGGGAGGGGGCTGGGGCTGTGATGGGTCAAATGGTCTGAGATCTCTGCTCTCCCCTCTGCCCTTCACAGTCTCTCCCACTGCTCTACAGCCCTCTGAATGAGGTGGTGGGCAGGATGACCTTCAGCAAACTCATTGAAGTCCTGCAGGAGATGACCAGGCCTCTGCCCGAGTCTCCTGAGCTCCCCCTCGCTATGGCCTTGAAGAACCAGGTACATGGCCCAGAGGAGGGCAGAGCCTTATGGCATCTCTGGGGTGCCACTGTCACCGGCTATGATCTTCCTCCTCATGCTTCCCTGCAGTTTGGGATCTCCTTGCTCTACTCCCTGCTCAGCCACGGCGAGAGGCTGCTGTCCTCCGACACGCTGCTGGAGGCACGCGGCGAGGACTTCAAGACATGGTGAGGGGCTGCAAGAGCAGCAGAGTCAGGGTTTGCCAGCCGGTGGGGCGCTCACTCACTGCGTTGATGCCTCCAGGACGGACACAGTGTTCCTGGTTGCCCGGGAGCTATCGCAAGTGCCCAAGGCCTCTCTGGTGGAGCCTCTCTTCTTGCCTAGCAACCTTCTCTCGCTCTTCTGCCGCTACCTGGACAAGCAGACCGTCCACCACCTGGAAGCCAAGATGGAGTGAGTACTGCCTGGCATGGCTCCCTGCCTCTCCTGGGGATCCACTGGGAGAGAAGCAGTGTCCAGCATCAGGGAGTCAGTGCTGCTGTCCCCTTGGGGACCCCATTGGACATGAGTCTCCAAACTTTCACCAGGCTGAGCTGATCCTTGTGGCTTTGCTCCTGCTTCTCTGGGGCAGGTCGGCACCAGCTGCTGGCAGTACGAGTATGGCAACCTGATGCTTCAACCGACTTCATCTTTTCCCTGCAGGTGCTCTCCGCTGCCGTCGGAGGCTGCCATGCTGTGCTGAGCCATGGGAGCCGGGGCCAGTGGTGCTGGGAATGGGCATGGCCCGATGGCCGTGACTTTGAGTTTCAAAGTGAACACTTAGCCTGGTGTGGGGCACGCTGGGTGAAGCAGGCACTGGCAGGGCCGGCGCTCGAGGGCTGATGCTGACCTGCCCCAGTGCCTGGGAGCAGAGCACAGGGAGGCGGGTAACTTATTTTGGCCTCGCACCTAGCTGTGAGCGCCGGACCACGGGTAGGGTGTCGAGGCAGGGTCTGCACAGGGGCGCTGGGAGCACCTGGGGGTGAGTGACTTTGTGTACAGCACTTGAAAGACAATAAAAAGGTGATTAACGAGCTCCTCTGGCTCCTGTGGGCAGCTTCTGGTGTAAGCACAGAGGTCCCGGAGTCACTACCTGGATGTGGAGAGCCCTGGTCAGGGATGGTGGGGAGCTGAGTGTGCAGTAAAGAGGAAGGAGAAGCAGGGAGGGGTGCACAGAGGACCCGGAAAGAAGATAAAGAGGGATGGAGGTGAAGGCAAGGTGCTTGGGAGGGAGTGGGGGGAATCAGAGGACCCATGTGGCTGAGGATGGAGGGGAATTGAGTCCCTGGGGAAGAGGAATGGGCTGGAAGATAAGGAATGTGGTGGGGAAGATGGGGGTCAGAGCTTGCCGGGAGGGGAAAGGAAAGGCATGTGCACACAGCAGGGCACGTTTGGGTGCATGTGGGGAGGATATGTGGGACCTTGAACATACATGGGTGAGTAATAAATTACTTATTCTCTCTGCTGAGCTCTCAAAACTAGTCTAAAGGCTTGTGGACGTGGTCATGATGAAGTTCCTTGAGGCTTCTTGAGCCGCTTTAACTGACCACGACTACCTCAAGCTGACCCTCACTTGTGCATCTAGTGCTGAGGGCACGCTTGGGTGTAACGTCCGGTCTCGCTGTAGAAATCTTCATGCCTCCTGCCCTGTTAGTGTGGTGTATGTGGTGGGATTTGCCCTAACCCTGTGGAACTTCTGAACCTGACACCTGTGTTTAAGCACCTGCATGTCTGTCCAGAGGTCTAAACTTGGCACCCAAAGCCTGGTGTGTATTCAAAAGAGGTTTGAATAAGCTGCCTCATCCTCAGGCTGGTAGCTGTCGTATATTTGCAAGCTCCAGCCCTGTGTAGATGAGAGTAAAGGAAACTGTTCCTTTAGACTGATATCTTCCAGAGGTCAAATTGATGCACATGGACAATTTGCAGAAAATAAGGGTGTGACTGGTATGGCTGAGTGGTTGGATGGGATTTATCTCCGCAGCTTACCAAGGCAGCACAGATCTCTGCTTCTGAAACTCACTTCAGGGGGGACACTTGAGATGCCTGAACACAGTGACAAGAGATGCTGCCGTTGTGATGCAGGACCCAGGGTGCTGAGCTCCCTCCGCCCCCTGCTCAAGCTGTAGCCGCCAGTGCAGGTTGTGGTGGCTGCACCCAGCTGAAGTTGGGCTTTGGGGGAGGCAGATGGCAACATGGTAGCTGAGGGCTGTCTGGAGTACTGGGGACCGGTGATGGGGTTGGTGTTGGGACTGGCGCTGTTCAACATCTTTGGCGGCGGAATGTACCTTGCCATCGACTCTTGTTAAACCACTGTCATGCTCGCTGTCAAACTTTAAGTCGCTGTTTCATATCAATAAAAATATTGTTGTTTCTCTCTTGCAAGTGAAGTGCATGGCTCTTCCTGGAACAGGACTCCTGCCCTTCATGACAGAGGTGGGGTGTAGGCTGTCAATCATCTGAAAAGGCACAGGATCTGGCTGGAAGGAGCTCCAGATCATTCTGGCAGCTGCTTTTGTTATCCTCATGTCTCTCCTGCTCATTTAGGTGTTCTACAGCCTCAGCCTTTCTGCTGCCCTCAAAATCAAGCTTGCCAAAAGCAAGTTCAAAGTCTTCTCCCCTCGCTCCTCATGCTTTATCACAGGGAAGTTCTTTGGGACAGCTGTGCTCATCCCTACACATCCCTAGCCATCTTGCTATGTCACTTCAAAAGAGTGACGCTGGCAGGTTGTCATTGGGGTAAAACCTGTAGTTTTAACCTGCTGAGGTAATCTCAGACAGTAACTGTGTGCTGACCCACCTGTAAGCACCTTGTCACTGCAAACCCTTGAGACAATTTCATACAGAAGGGAACTAGCAGCTGCTCATAGATTTGTAGGAAGGGAGGAGGACACCAGAGTCTCTTTCAGAATGAGGATAAGCTGCTGTTATATTTTCGCTTTGCAACAGAGCAGAGCACAGACCTAGCAAGAGCAATCCTCACCTGAGAGCCAGCTGGGATGGAGGGGGAAGGTGTGACAGGTTGCAATCACGTACAAAACCAAATGCTCTAATGTAGAAAGGTTGGAGGTGTCTACTGGACTTTACTGCCTTGTTGCAGGAACAAACTGAACAAAAGAAGGCAAATCCATCTCTTTTATGGTTATTCTCCCACAACCAGGGGACCCTCACCACCCAACAGCCCCCTTGGAGCTTCCTGCAAGGAGACAGAGAACTCTCCCTGGGGCACCACCCAGTGAATTAATTCAGCTGAAGGGTGTCCAGCACCTCAGGGACCCCATCTGCTTTACCTGCACCAAAACCTTCTCCCTTAATCCAAAGCTGGTGAATGTCCAGGGTGTCTCAACTGGCTCTGCTTTACCTACTGCCCTGCCCGGCTCCTCCTGGCACTGTCCCACTGTGGGGATGTGCTGACACGTCACCATGAGTGAGCAGCTGGACCAAGAGGACCCTCTGTCTTAGTGATATGGGGCTCATCCTGGGATGTCTTCAGGGTATGGTGCTCATACTGGAGGCAGGGAAGTACACTTTGGGCTTGCACAAGACTTATTATGGGCTGCTTAAGGGAAGAATCCAAGGTGGAGAGAGAGATATCAAGGTGGTTTACAGCAGCATTGCCTCTCTTGGGCTGCTACCAAAAACCCTTGAGCTGAACAGGCAACCAGCCTGGTCGGTGTGTAGAGTGATTGGCAGCTGTCAGGGTTGAGGGTACCGTGGCCGTCTTGGTGAGGACACTGAGGGGGCGCATGGCACCCTCTGTTCAGGTACTCAGGGGAGGGTGGCTGTTATGGTAGGAGTGTTGAAGGGGTCACAGCCATATTGGCTGAGGCACAGAGAGTCTGTGGCCATCTTGGTCAGGACATTGAAGGCACTGGTTTAGGGCACTGAGGAGTTGGCCATCTCAGCTGGGACATTGGGTCTCACTTGGGTCCCCTCGGTGGAAGGCACTGTGGCCATCTTGGGGCATTAGTGGGACTGTGACCATCTCGATTGGGGTGTTAAGGGGACCACGGCTGGTTGGGTCATTGACCACGACCATCTCAGCTGGGGTGTTGAGGGGCCCACGTCCGTCCCAGCCGGGCGCTGAGGGGACGCGGGGTGCCAGCCCATGGGGGACACCCGCCCGTGCCGCTCTCCCCACGGGCTGGC